GCAGATCGTAAGTGTTCCCTTTCTGACCACGTAAGTTGCTTTTGTGTACCGAGATTAAAATCAACTAACAGAGTTGTATCCACTACCATTATGTTTCACACCTCCTGGATTTGATTATCCTTTCAGGTGTCAGGTTTTGTGGCTGCTTTGAGAATGTTCTTTTCCTATGGCATTAGTAGTAGAACTCAACTTACGTGTCCAGTAGTTGGTCAAAAGGAGAGGGAACTTAATTTAGCGAGCCTTAAGACGTGTTTGGAAGATCCTAAAAAAACTGATCGTACCCCATATAGGCCTCCACACCTACGCCAAAGGGACAGTTCAAATACGAAGCAGACTGGAGCTCGGGGTTCTCAAAGTTTATCAGATCATGAATCTTCCGTACTTGATTTTGCATCATCAGATTCAGATTATAGCGACAGTGATGGATCAATTAAAGAGACTGAAAACATTCAGAAATCAAAAGTCAGAGTTGCTGCAATAGTTTGTATACAGGTAATTTTTGCAATTTCTTTTTGGTTCTTAACATTATCTCAGAAAGGTTATTTTGCAAAGCAATCTAGCATTTCTTTATGTGTTAAAAGTTTAAGGAAGGAAAATGTTAAAGTATGCAAATGTTTTTGTGATCTTGCTGGAGAAGTTAATATATTTTGAATACCTTACTCTTTGAAGTTGATTTTGTGAGCTGGAATACTAGTTAATTTTATGAATTTAACAAGATTTTAACAAAATGACGTGGTTTCATTATCCATTATATGTGGAGAAATTGGTATGGTGCCTTTTGAGCATGAAATCTTTAATGTCTGCACATTTACAATATTTCCTTTGTTAATTTGGCAAAGGATCTTTGTCAAGCCGATTCCAAATCATTTACTAGCCAATGGACGCTGCTTTTGCCAACAAGTGATGTACTACAACCTAGGTAAAGCATCCTAATTCCTCCTCTTCATGAATAGTTCATTTCATAAACTTAACTATCTATCACCAAATTTTCATTCTCACTTATTTCATGTTACCTTCTGATTTACAGGAAGTATGAAGCAACACTAATGACATGCTTGCTATTTGATCCTTATCTAAAGGTGTTGTTCACTGTTCTTTCTTATTATATTTAGTCACCGCACTTCCTTTTCGTGAATTATTTGACACCTATGCCCTGCGGTTTATGTAGAGATAACTTTGTATTTATGCCATGTGGCATGACAATTCTTTTTCTCATTTTCATAACTTTCAAACATATTCTCATGGTCATGTAGTAATTTTTCTCTAGTGGTGCTTCTAGCTGACATGTGCTTCTTTGTGGTTCCCAGGCACGGATTTCATCTGCCTCAACCCTGGAAGCAATGTTGGATGGTCCATCTTCAGTTTTTCTGCAGGTAGCAGAATTCAAGGAATCTTCTAAACGTGGATCCTTCACCGCTCTTTCAAGTTCCCTTGGACATATACTCATGCAGCTTCATACAGGTTTGTGAAAGCAGTAATGCTGCACAAATTTATTTTTGGTGCAATAATATTACTTTTTACTCGTTCAAGTATTTTTTGGTTATCTTGATGTTGCAATAATTTTATGATGTATCTGGTGTAGGTATTTTTTACTTAATTCAACGTGAAAGTCATAGTAGATTGATGGCATCCTTGTTCAAGATTCTCATGCTTTTGATATCATCTACACCGTATGAATTCTCCTCCCCAAAATATCTTATTGTTGAGGATTTTTTTTTTTTTTTCATTCTTGGTTTTGTTTTAACGTGATTTAGTATTTACTCCATTGTATCTTCTTATGTTGTTTTTTTAAAGCTGTATTCAGATTCCAAAACCTCGTGTTAGAACAAACTTTAGTGTATACTTTTCATAATTCAATTCCGAAATTGGGCACAAGTGATATGGCTTACAGCTTTAAATGCATTGATATTACCTGTTTGGGCTTGAATATTTTCCTTACCCACTTTTCTTACTTTTGGGTGAGAAAGTCATCTCCTTCACATTAGGATCTGATTTGGAAACCCTAGCAGCATTTGCAAAAGTTTTCCCAGTGTCCACTACAACTATCAAGGTGCACTTGCCCATCTTAGTTCCCTGTAAGCCTCTGTGTAGCAGGCCTCGGCACACGTCTTCTAGGACAAGTTGGATGCTTAGTCCGTAGTCATGGAAATAAATGAAATGATTAGGCTCCGAACAGACTGAAGAATCTTGAGAGAGGCTTTTGGATAGTAA